TCTAACATCCAAAATCAAACCTAAATTGAAAGGAAAAAAATAAAAAAGAAAAGAAAAAGCTAACAAGATATTTTACTTTTTCGCTTTTATTGTTCAACTTTCATTATGCACCAATAAAATTTCTCATTTTTTTTCTAAATTTTATATTTACCTTTCGTAGAGGGATTAAATTTATTAATATCTAAAAGTGTTTAATCAGATTCATACTACCTACCATGAGTATAATTCATGTGAATAAGTGATATGTTGTCTAGCTGCTCAAGTCATTACTGAGCACAAGACCCTTTTTTTTAGTTTATATATATATATATTTAGCTATAATGGGGATCAATGCTTCCTCTCTCTCTCAAGATTCCTATATTTGCTTTACCCCAGTGAAGGTAATTACGATCTTTCTCTCTAAATAGGGTGTTTATTTTCATTTTCTTTTAGTTATTCTACACAATATTTTATTTATTTATTTGTTTATTTTTTTTGTTGTTCATGTAACTTCCTGATTTAGAGCATGTAATTAAAAATTTTTTAGAAAATATTATTTTAAGATTAAACATTTTATTTTAATAATTAATATTTAATATCACGTACGACACACATACATAACACTAGTATTTGTTAAAGGGATCTAAACGGTCCATTTTGAAACATATTTCAGAAATTCTTCTAGATAACTTAAGTAGAAATTTTCTGAATGCCTGACTGAGGATTGAGCTTTCATCATAATATCTCACTCAAAATTGGTTTTGATCCAACATTTTTGTAGCAAGGAGAGGATGAGTAACAATTGTATAAAGAAAGGGCAGAAAAATACCAAAAATAACTTGGTTTTGAGAGAGAATCGAACCAATTACTTGCCAACCTTGTGTCGACTCTGGCAGTTTTGCATCGACTCACCAGTTTTTTTAGCACTGGTTCTAAGATGTGGACCGAGTCCTACTCAGCCTGGTCCGATTAAGTGGCCAGACTCGGGCCTTGGCAGTGACAACCGACCCACAAGTCCACCTAATTACCCTAGCCACTCTCCAAAATTTGGGTTCCTGAAAAGTGAAAATATAATATTTTTCACTCTAGGGAAAAGTTTATATAAGGTGGCAATCTTAAAATGTAGGATCACATATCACCCTAAAAATATATAAAAAATGTTGTTTTAATTTTGAAAAACCATATAATTGATCATCTCGACATCGAGATGTATGAATATGAAAAAAAAAGTTTTTGAGTAGAAAAAATAGTGTATCTTGAAACACATTACCTAGACTGTCTATTTTCAAGATTTTTTTATATTTATAGACCTACTTAATTTTAACTATTTTTAAAAATTTAAATTTTCTAATTAGATATAAAAATAGATTTTAAAATAATTCTAAATTTTTTTTACAACAATTTGTTATGATAAAATTTGGAGGAGCACCTTAATTGGATCGTTTAAGGTTGCAAACATTGGATCGTTTAAGGTTGCAAACCGCACCCTTCACTGAAACCCCAGCAAAACCCATAACCCCCCTACTATTCTTTCTCGCGCTTCCCACTCTTCGGAGACCAAATTCTCTCTCTCTCTCTCTCTCTCTCTCTACACACTACCACACATACTACTTACTTCTTCTCTCTCTCTCTACTCTCTCTCTCTCTCTCTCTCTCTCGTCTTACCTAACCTACTTCTTACTTTTACTTTCCTTTCCTT